CACAACCAAAAGGCAAGCGCAGTTTCGTCACATGTCTCTCTGCTCCATGTGCCTTCTCCAGGTCTCCTTCTGGCTCTCCACCCTGCTTCCCTCCTTCCTCAGTCTCCTCTGCAGCGTCTTCTCTCCCTGCTCAGCTCCACCCTCCTTTTGGGTGGGGTAGGGAACCTGGAACCTCCCCCTTTCCTGGGGACCACCCTGTTACAATAGTAGCATTTTGCAGCAGCAGCTCTAGAGGCCGCCTGCCCCCTGAAAATGGGAATTGCCCCTGAGCAATTTAGGTTTTATGTGTTATTTGGGGTTATTTTTGGGGGGTTGTAGCGGCAGGAATGGACATGGAGCAGGATCTTTATGATCCGAGCAGATGGGGTAAGGAGAAGTCCTGGAGCCCTTGGTGCTTTTTAGGCTTTTATTGGGATTTTACTGGGTACACAGCATACAGGGGTGCTGGGGGCCGGGAGGATGGCAGGCCTCCCAGCCCCCAGCAAGTCTTCACTTGTTCTGGGCTCTCCGGTTTTCTCTGGCAGTCTCTGCTTCTCTGCTCTCTTCTCTTCTGGCGTCCGTGTGATGCCACCCTTATAAGCCCAGTCTCTTAGCCCAGGTATACCAACTTACGCATGCCCACACCCTACTCCAGGTGTCCACTGTCAGGCATACATTCAGGACCGCAGGGATCCATTATCAATCCTAATGGCGGGAGGGCAGAAAAGCCTGATACTTTTATTTACCCTACGGGGTCTAGGAACAATGAACATTTAAAAAAAAAGATTTATTTATTTATGCATACAGGAACTGGGGTATAGACCAGAGGTGTGGAGGGTGAGAGGATTCACCAGAGACAGAGTGGGGAACAGAACAGGCAGACTGATTGAAATACACTGCTGAGGGGAGCAGTGGGTGCTGCACCATGTGGGTAGCCTGGCCACGGGGGATTGAACTCGTGATGCAGGGGCTGCAGATAGCTTCACAGTGCTGTACTTAACCCCTTGTGCCACCAGGGAGGCCCAACATTGAACATTTTTACAACAAAAATTAATGGTGTTTCCTTGCTTTAAAACCATGACATTTGTGAAAGGTTTCCTAGGAATGCTCTGCTTTAGATAGCAGGGGAAACCTGCATCTGGAAGGAGGGGAGAGGTTCATGTTAAAGCATGGATTCTTATTCAGTAGGTTATAGGTGGGCCTTGAGCTTGTGCATTTTTAGCAAGCTTGTCTTTTTTTTTTTTTTAAAGATTTATTTGTTTATTTATACAAGCACTGGGTACAGTCAGAAGCACGGGAGGGTGAGAGAATTCACCAGAGTCAGAGTGGGGAACAGAACAGGCAGACCAATGAAATACACTGATGAGGGGAGCAGTGGGCACGGCAGGAGAGTTCTGTCGTGCCCTGTGGGACCCTTGCCGGTGGCCGGGGATCGAACCGGCGCTGCAGAGGCTGCAGCCCAGTGCTCAATTTCTGCGCCACCAGGGGAGGCCCACAAGCTTATCTTTGATGCTGGTCCTTTGAGTGACAAGGTTTGATCACAGAGCTTGGCTGAATATTGGAATCACCTGTGAAGCCTTCACAACTACTAATGTCTGGATACCACTCCCAGGATTATAATTAATATGGAGTGCAGTGAGAGTATTGGGAATTTTTTAAGTTTCATAAGTGATTTTACTTGGTAGCAAGATTTGAGCACCACTGGATTGGATGACTTTGGGCCCTATTTTAAAACAAAGCATACAGAGTAATGCTCTGTAGCGGTATGTCCTTTCTTTTGTAAAAGTCAATTTTATAGCTGGCGAGAGTCTGGCCAAACCCATGGATGACTTCCAGATCTCTGCCTAGCATGACTGGGTAGTTTCTCCAGTGTCCCTGGCACATAATTAGTGGCAGAAATAAAATTCCTGCCTTTGGGAGAGTGATTGTTCTGAGTACAGTTAAAATAACCCCTCTGTAGGGTAAAGAAAATGTCAGCCTTTTCTGCCCTTCCGCCATCAGGATAGATGATGGATCCTTGTCCCGAATGCATGCCTGATGGCGGGCACCTGGAATAGGGTGTGGGCATAGGTAGATGGGATTCAGCTGAGCTAAGACTGTGCTTTTAAGGGCGGCGTCACGGGGTGATGCTAGCAGCCCCAGCCAGCAGCAGCAGAACCTGAAGGAGAAGCCGAAGCAGAAGCAGAGAAGGCCAGAGAGCCCAAATAGAGTGAAGACTTGCTGGGGGCTGGGAGGCTGGCAGGCCTCCAGCCAGCCTCCCAGCCCCCCAGCCAGCACCCCTACCTGCCATATGCCTGGTGAACCCCAAATAAAAAACCTGCAAAACTACTGAGGACTCTGACTCCTCCTTTACCCGGTCTGCATGGGATCAGAAAACCTGCACTGTATCCAGTCCTGCCTCTACAATTGGCGTAGTCGGCAGGATCCATGCAGACGGGTATTGGAGCCCTCTGAAGACCTGGAGGGACTAAGGAGAACAGACTTTGCCTGTGACGACGCTGGAGGCACCATGGCGGTATAGAAGATGGATACGTCCACGAGCTACAGGATGAGACCTGGCGTGAAGGAGACGCCCGAAAGGACCAGCCAACGACACCGGAAAGGACCAGCCAACGACACCGGATAGGACAGCCAATGACCCCTGAGGCAGCAGGCCATTGCTGAAGCAGGGAGAGGCCAATGGACTGATAGACTGATGAACTGATGATTTTGGACTGACAATCCCGCCAGAAGGCGGAGGACCTTAGCAGGTTATGTTTTTTTTTTGAGAATCTGGGGGTGGCCAGTGGGCCTAGATGGCCAAAAGCAGCCTGTGCATGCCCAGCAGCCAGGTGGAGGAGAAAAGCCAACTAAGAAAGCAAAAGCTGGTACTGATGATAAGTTGAGAAGCCCTGAGTGGCTGTTAAGCAGCTTTAGTATGTTGAAGAACTGTGAGTCTCGTAAAATCACCTGTGGGTGATGCCCTGCTCATTCTTGAGCGAGGGTGAGGAGCTGAGGAACCTGTCCTTGGGGACGGGTGGGAACGTGGCTTGAGGTGGAGCCCAAGCCGAATGCAAGTTTGGATCCCCAACCCATGTGCTTGTGCAGTGGGTTGGCTTGAGTGCAGGGGTCTGTGAGTTGCATGGTGGCATGAAGGCCGAGTGTTGGAGCGACTGCAGACAGAAACCCTGAGGGTTGGCGATTACCCCCAACAGAATAAAATTGCCAATCCCAGAGCTAGTGCATCCTGGGGTGGATGCTGTGTGTGCCTTGTAGCCGAGACTACAGCCAGAGAAGGCCAGGAAGCCTGACGGCTCCTGGTGTGATATAGTAGATGCCGTGAGTGATTCCCCTCCCTCGTATGAGCAGTGCCTTCGGCAGCAGATTTGGTGGCTCATCTGCTGGTACCAATAATTGTCTTTTGCACTAGGTTGGTGCCCTGCCTGGACTTATTTGTGTTCTGTTGTATTTTGTTATATGTATTTGTTATATTCGATGTATTTGCTTTTGTGGGCCATGGCTGCTTTGTTTGTTTGCTTAGAAAATTGTGTGTATATATATATATGTATAGACTGTATGGCAGAAAACCCTGAGGGGGTGGACTGTAGGGTAAAGAAAATGTCAGCCTTTTCTGCCCTTCCGCCATCAGGATAGATGATGGATCCTTGTCCCGAATGCATGCCTGATGGCGGGCACCTGGAATAGGGTGTGGGCATAGGTAGATGGGATTCAGCTGAGCTAAGACTGTGCTTTTAAGGGCGGCGTCACGGGGTGATGCTAGCAGCCCCAGCCAGCAGCAGCAGAACCTGAAGGAGAAGCCGAAGCAGAAGCAGAGAAGGCCAGAGAGCCCAAATAGAGTGAAGACTTGCTGGGGGCTGGGAGGCTGGCAGGCCTCCAGCAGCCTCCAGCCCCCCAGCCAGCACCCCTACCTGCCATATGCCTGGTGAACCCCAAATAAAAAACCTGCAAAACTACTGAGGACTCTGACTCCTCCTTTACCCGGTCTGCATGGGATCAGAAAACCTGCACTGTATCCAGTCCTGCCTCTACACCCTCTAATGGCAAGCTTGCAGTAAGTAGGCTGTCCTGTGAGCTTGTGCTGAGGCAGAGGGAGAGGTGAAGCAGGGAAGCACTCTGCTTTTTTTTTTTTCTTGAAATTTCTAGCTTATTCACATGCAAATTGTGAATTTCAGAGTCAGTAACAAACTAAGAACTTTTTGTGTGATTCAAGCTAACCCCTTGGTCAACAAAAACAGATGTTTCAAACTACTGAAAACTAATGAGGCAGATCCAATTTACAGGTTATTAATTGACTGCTAGATGTGGGCCCCCCAAGTGGCCATGGTGACATTGGGTAGGGCAGACGATGCCAGAGCCCTACAATGCCTCCCCCGCCCAGGTCGCCTCCCACCTACCCTAATGTAAAGCTTTCTCAGTTCCTTTTGTCAAGCGATTTATTTTATCTTAACAGAGCCTGGGAAAGTTTCCTATGAAATGCCTTCTGTAAAGGTCAGGACAGGACACAGTGCAGGTTTCTGATCCCATGCAGACCGGGTAAAGGAGGAGTCAGAGTCCTTAGTTGGGTTTTTGCAGGTCTTTTATTGGGGTTCATCAGGCATATGGCAGGCAGGGGTGCTGGCTGGGGGGCTGGGAGGCCCCCCAGCCTCCCAGCCCCCCAGCAAGTCTTCACTCTATCTGGGCTCTAGCGTTCGTTCTGCCGCTTCTAGGCTTCTCTTTCGGCTTCGGCTTCGGCTTCGGCTTCGGCTTCGGCTTCGGCTTCGGCTTCGGCTTCGGCTTCGGCTTCGGCTTCGGCTTCGGCTTCTATTGCTGCTGCTGCTGGCGTCCCCGTGACGCCGCCCTTAAAAAGCGCAGTCTTAGCGCAGGTGAATCCCATCTACCTATGCCACACCCTACTCCAGGTGCCCGCCATCAGGCATGCATTCAGGACCGCAAGGGTCCATCATCTATCCTCATGGCAGGAGGGCAGAAAAGCCTGACATTTTTCCTTACCCTACACCTTCTATCCCATGTAACTAAATTGATTTTTTCCCCCCTGGATGATCCAGATTGGACGACTGATAATCGGACAGAATGGCATCTTGTCGACACCTGCAGTTTCCTGCATTATCAGAAAGATCAAGGCAGCTGGTGGAATCATCCTAACAGCCAGCCACTGCCCTGGAGGACCAGGGGGAGAGTTCGGAGTGAAGTTTAATGTTGCCAATGGAGGTATGTTATTCAGGATATGATTTGTCATGATATCCTTCTTCTTACATTATATAGATTTACAATGATCATATAATGGTAGACAAGCAAAGTGGATAGAAAATGGCTCAGAAAAATCCACTGAGGTGCCTGTATTAGGGTTTTCTAGAGAAAGACAACTGATAGGATATAAAGAGATACACGGAATTAACAGTTGTGATTATGGAGTCTGGGATTCCCCAAGATCTGTAGTTGGCAGCTGGAGACTGTAGGGTAAGGTAAAAAAGTATCAGGCTTTTCTGCCCTCCCGCCATTAGGATTGATGATGGATCCTTGGGGTCCTGAATGCATGCCTGATGGCGGGCACCTGGAGTAGGGTGTGGGCATATGTAGATGGGATTCACCTGGGCTGAGAGACTGGGCTTATAAGGGCGGAGTCACGGGGACACCAGCAGAATGACCGGAAGAACCACGAGAGGAGCAGAGAACAAGCCTAACAGAGAACGCTGGAGAGCCCAGAAAGAGTGAAGATTTGCTGCCAGCACCCCTGCCAGCCATGTACCTGGTAAATCCCAATAAAAGCCTGAAAAGCCACCGAGGGCTCCGGTACTCTTCTTTAGCCCATCTGCTCGGGTCCATAGAGATCCTGCTCCGTGTCCTGCTGCCCCACACAAGACCCAAGAGAGCTGAGGGTGTGGCTGCCTGAAAAGGAGCAGAGTTGACGGTGTAAGTAACACTGATTCTGAGTCTGCTACTGAAGCCACTAGAGGACCGATGTGTCTGTTTAGGGACAGGCAGAGAGATCAAATTCTCCCTTACTCAGCTTTTTTGTTCCTTCCAGGAACAGTGGGTTGGTTGTATGAGGCCCACCCTGTTGGGAAGGACCAACTGCTTTACTTGTCTATCCACTGAAATGTAAATCTCATCCAGTAACATCCTCATAGACAATATCTGGACAAAACCTAATATCTGGGCACCCTGTGGCTAGTCAGTTAATCATCAAATTGTTTAAGGTGACATACTGAGGAGGTAGCATACTGGAATCTTGAACCCATTTGATCTCTTGGTCCCCTGCACTCCTCAGAACAGTGAAGTGATTGAATAGTTGATTTTTTTCTTAGTATGAAAGGACTCTAGGTTTTGTTTTTTTTTAAAGATTTATTTATTTATACAAGCACTGGTGTACAGGCCAGAGGCATGGAAGGGTGAGAGGATTCACCAGAGACAGCAGGGAGCAGAGCAGGCAGTTGGACAGAGAACACTGCTGAGGGGAGCAGTGGGTGAGACAGGAGAGGTCTTCTGTGCCATGTGGGCATCTCACTGTCTGGCTGGGAATCGAACCTGTGCTGCAGAGGCTGCGGACAGCTGCACAGAGCTGTACTCAACATGCTGTGCCACCGGGGAGGCCCAGGACTCTAGGTTTTTATGGTTGGAAAATAACCTCACAGTCATTTAGAATATTCCCTTCATTTTACAGAACAATTTGAAGCCTTGAGAGGCTGCTCTGTGCTCAAGGTCACCTTGCTGGCTGCTCAAGGCCAGACATGATTTTTCAGCACAAATCCTGGACTTTCTGATAGTGTTGACTTTCTTTCACTGAAATGCATGTAATTTTATTTTTTCATTGTGATCTTCACTTTTACCATATGACAAAAAAAAACAAAAAAAACTTGGTAAAATCTAGCTCTCTTCTCTCCTGTCTACTGCAGTGGGCTATGCTGATTTTTAAAACGGCTTTAATGAGGTGTATGTACTTGATATATGAAAAACCAGCACATATTAAATGTATATGATTTGATGAGTTTGGATGCTGTTTGCTTTTATATGTTTAGTGAGCATTTGTCAGGAGGCAGTAATTGAATTATGCTCTAAACAGCACTGTCAAATAGAAATACATTGTGAGTCACATAAATGATTGAAATTTTTTTAGTACCAGGGTAACAAATGGGAAAAGAAACAAGTGAATAATATATTTTTACCCTAAATATGGAAAATATTATCATTCTAACATGCTACTATAAAATGATTAATGGAGTCTTACATTTTTCAATGAACTCCCCAAATTTGATTGGCATTTTATAGTTATATCACATAGTCAGTTTGACTAGTCCCACTTCAAGTGCTCAATAGCGACATATGGTTAGTGATTTTTATGTTAGACAGTGCAGCTCTAAGGACTGGGATATAGAAGAAATGAAGAAATAGTTTCTGTTTAGTAGAAAGTTACAGTATAGTTGATGAGTGAGATTTATATACAAAACTATCTGCCTACCTATCTACCTGCCTATCTGTACTGTATACTTTATTTATTTATTTTTTTATAGAGGCATGTTTTATTTATTTATTTGTTTGTTTTTTGTTTATACAAGCACTGGGTACAGTCAGAAGCGCGGGAGGGTGAGAGAATCCACCAGAGCCAGAGCAGGGAGCAGAGCAGGCAGAAGGACCGAAGTACACTGCTGAGGGGAGCAGCGGGCGGCAGGAGAGGTCTGCGCGCCAGGTGGGACCCTCCTTAGGTGGCCGGGGAGCAGCCGGGGATCGAACCGGTGCTGCAGAGGCTGCGGGCAGCTTCGCAACCCAGCGCTCAACCGCTGCCCCACCGGGAGGCCCTGTACTATATACTTTAGATCCTTAAATTCAATTTGTTTGAATCCCAAACTTGTTGCAAAAATCTAGAGATTTGCATTAAGGTAGAAAAAATTAAAAAAAGAAAACACTGAAGAAAAACAACTATAGAATTCATGTTCATTTTATTAGTTTATCCAACTTAATTGTGAACTTGACCTTATAAGGAAATATATCCAGTTTTTTTTTTTAAATCTCATTTTAAAGACTTGGGCATTACTACAGCATGTAAATAGGAATATAACTTACCCTGGGAAGCTCACACATTAGTAGGCAGCAGATATGTGAGTAGAAACCTTATTTTCTATCTCTAGGTACACTTGGGAAGTTGCAATTTAAATCTGGAATCTCTCACTTCTGTCAAATGCATATCCTGTTTGTGTCTCATATCCTGAATAAAGCTGATTACATAACCGGGACTCCCTGGCAGGTGTGAAACTATTTTTAGGGAAGACATATCATTGCTTAAAAGTAGACTAAGACAAACATGTGGGTTATTAGCCTACATAAAACAGGTGAGGCTGACCAAATTTCCTCCACAGTGGATAAATATAGCTTAAGAGATATCGAGGCTAATTAAACTGTGAGCTGTTGTCTATTGTTCAGAGAACAAATGAATCCTACTTGGTGGAGGAGGAGGTAACATTTTCTTATCTAATTTTGGGCATGTTTAAAAAAATATTTTAGGTGGTGCATTACTTTTAAATTTTAGGTCCTGCGCCAGATGTCGTCTCTGACAAAATTTATCAAATCAGCAAAACCATTGAGGAATATGCCATATGTCCTGATCTTCGAATTGACCTATCTCGACTAGGAAGACAAGAATTTGACCTGGAGAACAAATTCAAACCATTTAGAGGTAATAGAACATATTTTGAAGAAGTAGAATTACTCGAAGGTTGGGGGTGACTGATTTCTAGAGGGTGTATCCATAGGGAAGTGATTGGGTTTTCTATCTTAGAAGTAACTCTTGACAAATAGATGGGATCTATTTGCTCTTGGGAATGAAGGTAGCCAAGATATTCAGAATTGGTACCTTTCAAAAACCTCTTTCCAAACTCTGTTATTTTCAATACAGGAGAAAATTTCATAGCTGACTCTCTTATAGCATTCAAAGAAGGCTATGAATCGCAAAACATGTCTTTATTTTCCAACTAGTTAAGATGAAGGTGCTGTAATAAATTAAATAGTGAAGAAGAGACACAGCACGGTAGTGAGGCTATTAAAGTTTCCATAGAAGGTTTCTAAGCCAGAAACATGCAATTTAGTTTGATTCTGTGCACAATTATTGATCACCTACTCTGTACCAAACACCATGTTAGATTTTACAAAGCAATTCAGTTAAGTGCAAAAGTATTTAGGCAAGTGGTTTAAGGATCAAATAACCAGAATAAAATTGGCAAAGATATTATCCTAATTATAGTGTGAATAAACTTTCTAAAATACTTAGCTTATAACCTGTCAAGCTACAGATTAATATTGAACCATGTAACATTAATAGCATATGTAGGTACATAATACCCCCAGTTATATCCTATTGCTTTTTCCTAGAAGACCTACGAGTAGCAATAAAGCAAATACATCTTTTTCTCCTTTACTGCCCCTATATGCCGAAGTACAGTTTATATTAAGAGGGAACCCCTTATTCCACAAATAATTTAAGGTAGTGAAAAAGATAAAATATACTTGTCTTATGGTCACCTGGTTCTTTAGGCACAGAGAAGAGCTTGAAATGGACTGTTGAGGGTCAAAGTATTGGGCGAACATTTCACATTTTTGGAAAAGATTTTGAATCAACCCCTTGCTTATCTAGCCAGCAGAAATTAATTGAAAGTCATGTTATGCTTAGGTCCTGATGACTTAGGCACTGGACAAAATTTGCTTTGATCAATCTAGAGGGGTCGCGAGCTTATGTGCATGCGCACACACACACACACACACACACACACACACACACTTAAACATAATGATTTGACAACTAAAGGCAAGGGATGTAGTATATTAAATGAAATCTCTTACATATTCTTTATTTTTGGTATCTTCATAATTTTTGTGGTTATTCAAGAAACCCAGATTTTTGATGAGCTCAAAGTCTGATTGTTTTAGTCACATTGTTAGTGTGAAGAGTTTTCTAAAATCCTATAGATGCAGGATGTGAGTAGAAAGATTTCTTGACACCCAAGAAAAATTTGAAGGTAATTCTTGGTATAATTGATATACTGCTCTTGGGATAATTTCTTTATTATGATCTTGCTCTTTTAAATGTTGAGCAAGGTTTCAGTTAATTGGAAGCAAATCAGTCAATGACCTTTCACTTTATTGCATCAGGGGCATGAACTGTTTGATGTGAACTTTCATGAATATTCCCTGAATTCTACCTGCTTCCTTGTTTTTGCCACTTCTGTTCCATATAGTAGTAGATTGAGCAGGTAGCACAATTCTAGGGAGTTTATTTGCAGCAAGCATTTTTGCTGCATAATTGGTCATAAGGCTAATTTTGTCTTAAAAAAGATAAAATCACCCCCCCCCATGAAAGAGGAACATTGAAAGGATTTACAAAAGTTTTTTTTCCTTGCTAAAATTTCTGCATTTATTGAGAGAGATATCAGTTTCTAAATACTAAATGGATGTATGTAGCTAAGCTTTATATTGTGATGTGAAAGTTTCTGTATTACTCATTGACAGATGAAGGATGCTGCTATTGCTTATCATTATATGTAACACATGTAACTGATAACACATACCTGGATTGCATTTAAATGCTTTATCACATACTTCTTCTAAGCCAGATTCTGTACTAGTACCAAAATTCTATCTCATGTCCTCCACTGTCAAACAACAAACAATTTTCATCATTTTCCAGAGACGTATTCATAAGGAATCATGTAACCATTTCTTTTGGGGGGGGCAGGGGCATTAGGAAGAGCTTGATTCTCCATTTGCCTCCAACTTCTAATATTGTATGACAAATTTGGTAAGATGGCAAAGGGAACAACTTGTTGCATCTAGATGAGCTAAAGAATTGATAATTAATGCTCTCAAAGACTTGTGGATTACTAGCTATCTTTTCTGTATTTGCCATAGCTTGTTAAACTTTTGGTTTTGATGGCTGGAGGGGTGACTGCTTACTGAAAGATTTGCAAACTGATGTGTTATTTTCAGTACAGTCTATAATCTGGCTTTACACTCTGTTATTTCACACTTCCAGTAAGTTTTACTGCTGTATTTTTATTATATAAAAAAAATGGGAGCACTACATCAGCTGAAACCAGACTCAACCAGTTCTTTTTATCTTTTACTGCAAAATTGCCTTATGACCAATTAGTTATGTGTGAAAATGTTTGTGGTAAAGAACATGTGATGAAACTACACAACACATTTTCTAAGTACCAAGTGTATTTAGACAGGGGACCCAAGAATTAAAGAGTCAGTATGAAATTACCAAAATATCCTTTATTATAGTGAGTAAATTTCTAATGTATTCTGTAATGCCCTTTTATTTTATAGATTATTTGTTTTATTGTGTAAATTATTCATATAACAAAGCCTACTGTTACAACATTTTTAGGCATTCAACTCATAGATTGTTAATTGATTTTATAGATTAATATCCTTATGTCAAAAGATGATTAAAGCTCTTTGTGTTCCCTGAAAAATAATTTGTATTTCATTTAAGTGGACACATATATTTTATTTGTGATTAAAGAGCAAAAAAGTATTTTTCTTTGTATATTTGACCACATATTAAAATCTCTTCAATTAGATATTATATTTGTATTTGCTGAAAAAATTTAAAGGTAGATTGATAATATTTTAATGAGCGTCAAGTATTCACAATTCCAAAGTATTATCTATCTGAAGAAATTGAAAAAAAGTATGTAAGTTTCAAAATTTAACTACAAATTTAAAAGTATGACTTTTGGACAGATTTTAGTGCCTAAAGTTCCTATACTGCTTCTAGGAAAATACTTTGGGTATTAATTAATTATTAATTGATTACCTAGTTTGAAAAATAATAGGATGTATTCTGTAATTTATGTATCTATCAAATAAGTGGAAAAGACTTGTTTTGGATTCCTAGTCATTAGGTGGTGCCAGGCACTGATGAACATGTGTGTTTAGTGAGGATTTGTAGAAATCTGGTATTTTCCTGAATTGGTACGAAAGACACAAGAGATTTCATATAAATTCAGAAATATGTTCTTCTGCACCAATTCAGAACTTGGATCTGGTGGGCATGATAGCATTGGTAAAAGGTCACTGCTGAGCTCGCTCCTTGATTTGTTTTACACCAGCCCCCACAGGAGAGGCAACTAGTGTTACAAGATACCTTTTAGCATCTAGTTGTATGGGATTTTTTAGAGGAAGGTGGGAGTAGGGATAACAGTGCATAGTTTTATCATAAACTACTTTATTCTGTGGTTGATTTTTCACTTGCAAAGAAGAGTTTATAACTTGATATTATTTATACCCATTGACATTTGTAGTATCTTGATTGTGCTTTAATGATTGATTTTGTCTACAAGTGAACACTTCACTTCCCATATGTGTGGCGTTATCATGGGTCTGTGATTAGTATTTCATGATATGATGATAGTGATTTCATTTTTACACCTCTGAGAATATCCTTGGTCATTGATGTTTCCTGCTGTTTCCCTTTCCTTAGTGGAGATAGTGGATCCAGTGGATATCTATCTCAACCTCCTTCGGAACATTTTTGACTTTAATGCCATCAAGAGTTTGCTGACTGGGCCCAGCCAACTGAAGATCCGAGTTGATGCAATGCATGGAGGTAAATTCATAGCCTTCTACTTATCAGTGGGAAAGAAATATTAAGAAGACCTCTACACATGTTGGGTTTCTGGGGATATGAGGAAGGTTAGATTCATATGTTGTCCCGTGTGTGTATATTCAGATGTTTGGAATGCTTTGAAAGACTTCAGGGCTGTGATGAACATGGAAGTGTAGCTGTCTCTTCAATTTAGTGTTCTGGTGTTCTTCGGGTAAATACCCGGAAGTGGGATAACTGGATTGCATAGAATTTGTATTTTTAATTTTTTGAGGAATCTCTCATTTTGAATAGGAGATTTGATATTCTTTTCTTTCATAATTTTATGCCAGTGTTCCATTGTCTTACAACCATTTGTAGTAAACTTGAGAAATCTGGTGCTATTCTGATTTTTTATCCATTGTATGAAAACTTTTTTCTCTTCCACAGGCAAAATGAAAAGGTTTGTTTTGTATTAGTGAAAAATAAATAGAAAGCAAATCTTTCCATATATTTCAGCCAACAGGATTATCGACTAGTCCCCAAAGTGCTGTATGTCCTACCATAGTTTCTGTTCCCATACTCACAATGTTCTTTCCATTTGGATGGCTTCCCCACTCTGTCAAATTTATATTCTCCCTTTGAGTCCCTGAGAAATACTGCTTCCTTCTTGAAGATTTACCTGTGGTCATTCTTTTACTTAAGCCATTCTTTTTCTTGGATCTAATTATTCCATAAATATCCATTGAATGGACTAGTCTTATAGTGACAGTCACTGACATGTAGATTTGACTCATCCTATGTCTAGATTAAGAGCCCAGTGATGTGGGATCTGTATGTTTTGGTCTTTGAATACAATCCCCTCCATCCCTAACATTGGAGTTCCATGTTAGACATGCTGTAACTGAGTGGTGAACTGGAAAATACTATTCCTTAGCATTTATTTTGTAAAATGTGCTTAGTTTTATGTGCTTCAGCGGTTTCCAGTGTTTAATTAGACACTTGGCAGAGTTAAAATGATTGCAGAGACAAAGAACACTGCTGGAGCCTTTTAGTGCTTTAGTGCTTTTGCCTATGTTTAACTAAAGCTTTTAATACGTAAAAAGCAATAGACAATGAATCATTTTAAAGCAGTTGATTTCTTTCTGGCAACACTTGAGAAAAGTTGTGGAGAAAAAGCTCATGTAACTGGGTTATTGAATACACTTTCTATAAATCTAACACAGTAACCCGCCTATAGTAGATACTCAATGAATAAGTAGCAGTTGAAGTAAATATTATTCTCTACTGTGTCTTGAAAAATATTATAGAATTTATCTTTTTCCCCCTTCTGTATTATTAAGTGAACTTTTTGTTTTAATCAGAAAAAAAAAAAAAAAAACAACCAAAAACCCAAAACCCCACCCTGGAGGGTTCTACAAAGATTTCACATGGTTGTATATCTTTTCTTTAGTTATGGGACCCTATGTGAGAAAAGTTTTGTGTGATGAACTGGGTGCCCCAGCTAATTCTGCAATAAACTGTGTTCCCTTGGAAGACTTTGGAGGACAGCATCCTGACCCAAACCTGACATATGCAACGACCCTTCTGGAAGCTATGAAAGGAGGGGAATATGGGTTTGGAGCTGCATTTGATGCTGATGGGGTAAGTAGGGAAATTTTCAGCCTGTTCTTTTTCCTGTGCTGGGTATTTTCATAGTAAACGTTTTCACCATATAGCTAATTGGCCATAGGAAAATTTTGCAACAGAGCAAACTCAAAAGCACATAATGAAGCATGAAAATTAATAACAATTAAAAATACAAAGTATTCAAATTTGAATATATTGCAGAAATAAAAATCTTTGAACATGTTTACAAACGTGCGTAGATTCATGGCAATACTGGACAAAGAATTTTCTTTTGCAGACTGTACCTAGCAATGCTTTTCCAAGGCTTTCCTTTATTCATAGTATTATACATTTTTTTGGTGATCATATTTTCAAGTGTGAAATCAAAGACTGTAAAGCCAGATTGCATACTAATACACTAGAAAATGTAGGGCAATGTTACCTTTCAGCCAATTAGTTATGTGGCAAAATTCTTATGATGAGACTTCTTGAAGTGAAAATAGAACCTTGCTTACCATATAATGAGCCAAACATTGGAAACCAGAGAATTAATGAATACATCCTGGAGTTGACATGTATGGAGCAGACCCTAACTGGCTCTGTATCTGCTTTGCTTTTTTTTAATTTTTATTTATTTATTTATTTATTTATTTAAAATTTTATTTATTTATGCATACAAGAATTGGGGTGTAAGCCAGAGGTGCAGGGGTGAGAGAATTCACCAGAGACAGAGTGGCGAGCAAGACAGGTGGATCTACTGAAATACACTGCTGAGGGGAGCAGCGGGGAAGGCAGGAGAGTTCTGCTGAGCCATGTGGGTTGCACTCTGGCCGGCCAGGGATGGAACCAATGCTGCAGTGGCTTGTGACAGCCTGACAGCTCTGTCTTTAACCCCTGCACTACCAGGTCCTGCTTTGCTGTTTAATGGCTAAGTATTGCAATTAAATAGCCACTACCTTTCTTAGACCCAGGTTAGCATTGTTGTAAAAAGGCTATTTCTTTGAAAAATATTTTTTATGCAATGAAGTTTTATTTATGGCTGGTTTTGTTGAAAGCACCATGTTTAGGAACCAATCATTTCAGCACCAATCCCTGTTCTGCTTCATGTTTGAGGGAAAGCAGGAATTACGTCTGTGAAGGATACTGAAACCTGAGATGTAGTCATGCACATTTCAGCTGGTGAAACACATTCTTAGCTGCCTCAATATTCTGGACCCTACACTATCAGAGATTTAAATGGTTTCCTATGACCTCTTTGGCCTCATTCAAGTTGGTTTAGGTTGTTTAGATAGAGGATGGCAGTGAAGTGGCTTGTGATGATTATGGGAATGGATTATGCTAGCGGCAGGTACCTCTGACCATTTTCACACATTCCTTCCCACAGGACCGTTATATGATCTTAGGCCAAAATGGCTTCTTTGTGAGCCCTTCCGACTCCCTGGCCATTATTGCCGCCAACCTCCCTTGCATTCCATATTTCCGCCAGATGGGGGTCCGAGGGTTTGGGAGGAGTATGCCTACCAGCACGGCCCTGGACAGGTAAGCAAGCCTGTCTCATGAAAACCTTTGTGGAAAATCTCTGATGTTGATAGCCCCTTTGTCAGTAGCTGTCACTCAGTTCTTCCTGCTGTATTGGAGCTTGTGGAAAGCCTGGGACATTAGGATATGGTGTATATTCTAGGAGGAGCATCTTGGTTCTGTCATTATTAGCTATGGAATTTGGGAGGCATATTTTATTCCTATGCCTCAATTGTCTAATATTAGTATTATGAGGCCAATATTAGTATCGCTGTTTCATGGATTGTTCTGCGATATGACCATAGTGGATCACACAAAAAATTTGACAGAGTGCCTGGTATGTAGTAAAGACTTCATAAATGTCTAGTAATAAAATTTGTGAAATATGTCAGTGAGATGGAAGGAACATAGGCTTTCAGGTTAGGTTATTAAGTACACATAGATAGCATGTGAAAATGCTAGCTTGTATCCATATTAGTTCTGTAAAAATAGAAATAATACATTACAGTTTTCTGTGAGACTAAAACGAGATACACATGGAAATTGCCCAGTAGATGCACATAGGAGATTCAAACAATATTGGGTTTCTTTCTCCTTGACTAACCCATCATTACAATCTTTTACTTTAACTTATAAAATAGTAAATTTCAGAGTCTAATATTTTCATGCAACGTATGTTATAACATGAATAATACATGTGCATGGTGGAAAGTTAGAAAACTCAGATAAATAAGAACTGTAAACATATCACTCTCCCTGAGTTATATATGTTTATGAATGAATGTATCTTCCTTATCAGATCTCTTTATATAATTATAAATCTCATAAAGTTACAGAATATATGTAATATGTATATATTTGCCTCTTGTAATACCAAAATGAGATCTGAAAGTATATACTGCTTTGTAATTTGCTTTACTTTTCCATTGACAATCTCTAATTTTGTATTAATATGTTTTTATGTCATCTAAAGCCAAGATTATATTCATATTTTCTGAGAGTCCACAAAATGTTTTATGGGTGCTTTCCCCAAAGCATCATTCCATTCAAGACAATTATTGCAATTGGTTGTTCTGTCCCTTAAATATTTTATAACCTAACACAATCTTCTTTTTTTTTTTTTTTACTTCATTACAATGATTTTTGAAGAGACTGATTTTTGAGGTTGTCTTACAGAATCCGACCTTCTGAATTTCTGTGGTTATTTCCTCTTGGTGTTATTCATTCATTCATGAAGTAAAAATTACATGCAGTGAAATGAGTAATCTTAAGGGTATAATCTAATGAATTTTGAAAGATAACTCAAGTTAAGATATAGAAACTATCACTCAAAATTTTCTCCTGTGCCTCCTTCCAGTCCTCCATAAGCAACCATTGTCATAATTTCTATTACCATACATAAGTTTTGGCTGTTCTTGAAGTGCACATAAATAGAACCATATAATATATATGTTATTGTTTTTATTTAATGTTTATTTTTGAATCATCCCCATTGACTTCATGCATTAGTAGTTCATTACCTTTTGTTGCTGTAAAATACCATTGTATGAATGTATCACAATTTATTTTTCCAATCTCCTGTTAGCTATTCTGAATTGTGCTGCTATTAACATTTTTATATAAGTCTTTTTGTGGAGACATCTTCATTTCTCCTGGGTAAATATCTAAGAGCAGAATCCTGGTTGTTGGGTAGATGTATATTTAATCTTAAAAGAAACTTCCCAGTTATTTTCTATTTTACACTCGCATTGCCTGAGAGAATTCTTATTGTATTATACTCTTATTAGTATTTGGTACTATCTGCCCTTTTTATTTCAGCTATTTTAGAAAGTGTAAATTATTATTTCACTGTGGTTTAGATTTTTATCATCCTAATAAGTAGAGATAATGAATTCACTTTCAAATGCTTATTGTCTAACTGTGTAACTGTGTTATGTATGCTCAAAATGTATTTGCTCATTTAAAAATGTGAGTTCTCTTTTTTATTATTGATTCATAGAAATTCTTTATATTCTCTGGATAGTAAGTCTTTTGTCAGATGATATGTATGGCAAATGTTTTTCCCTTCCTGTTTCTTGTGTTTTCATATTCTTAGTGGTATATTCTTATGAGCATAAATTTTAAATTTTGATGAGGTACAGTTTAATTTTTTCTTGTATCATTATTATGTATTTTTTTTTCCTCTGTAAGATCTTTTCTTATCCCTAGGTCAGAGAGACCCTTGTTAATTTTTTACAATTGAGTCTATAATGATTTTGTTTTTGTTTTCACTCTTTTTTTAAATTAAGGTAACATTAGTTTACAACACTGTCAATGATTAAGGGGAATAGGTTCAAACGTCCTCAGATGCATGTCACTACACTACCCCACAACCGAAACACCTTAGTTCTTGCCTTAGACTATTGTGTTCTCTTATCCCTTGTTCTCACTCCTACCTTCCCTCCCCCACTAGCATCTTCAGTTTTGTATTCATATTTCTAGAGTTTATTTTGGTTTAGTTTTGTTGGTAACTTTTTTTTTATTTCTCTCTTTTTTTAAAGATTTATTTATTTATGCATGTAAGAACTGGGGTACAGGCCAGAGATGCGGGGGGTGAGAGGATTCAACAGAGACAGAGTAGGGAGCAGAACAGGCAGATTGACTGAAATATACTGCTGAGGGGAGCAGCAGGCGAGTCAAGAGAGGTATGCTGCACCGTGTGTGGAGCTCCTTGGCTGGCAGGGGATTGAACTCATGCTGCAGAGGCTGTAGATAGCTTCACAGTGCAGTGCTTAACCCCTTGCGCCACCAGGCAGGCCCTATTTTATTTCTTTTTATTTTCCACATATGAGTGAAATCTGCCAGTATGTGCCTATGATGATTTTGAGTTAATTTTTCTGTGTGGTGTAAGGCAGGGGTTGAGGTTCGCTTTTCTCCCCCATATCAAATTGTTCTAATCTATTTTTTTTAAAGTAATTTCCATTCTCCTTTGTTAAAAGTCAGTTGACCATGTATATGTGGGTCTCCTTCAGGATTTTCTAATCTGTGTCATTGATCTATTTTTCCATCCTTAGGCCAATATTACATGGTCCTAATTATTGAAGTCTTAAAATAAGTATTGAAATTAGATGAATCACTAACTTTTTTCTACACACACACACACACACACACACACACACCCCACACTCTTTCTAGGTCCTTTGCATTTCTATATACATTTTAGAATCAGCTTGTAAATTTCTAATTGTGCCTATTGGGATTTTGATTGGAATTTTGTTGAATCCGTAGAACAATTTGGAAAGAATTGCATTTTATTAATATTGAGATTTCCTGTCCATGAATGTGTGGTATATCTCAATTTGTTTTCTTTAAGTTTTCTTGCATGCTTTGTAGTTAATTATCTCTTACATGTGCCTTGTAGTCTAGTGTAGGGGTCTCACACATTTTTTGTTAAATTTATTCTTTAGTATTGTAGATACTTTGATACTCTTATAAGTGGAATAGTTTTATAAATTTAATTTTCCAATTATTTGCTGCTAGTAATTAAAATACAATTGATTTTTGTAGGTAGACCTCCTACCAGAGGTCTATTCTCTGAGGTAGAACTCAGAGGTAAATTCTCCTCCCCCTAGAAGGGAGAAGAATCGCATACTTTGAGAATGACCTCACTTTATTTATCTCTTCTAAGAGTTATTGATAGTAACTTCATGATGATGAATGAACCTCAGTTTAAAACATATTTTAGAAGTCCTATATCACAGTAGTTATTGCCTAGTAGCATCAGAGAGTAGAATGTATGGTTCTATGGTTTTAGTTTTTTTTTTAAACCTCTTTTCCTTTGCTTATATCCTTTATTAAAAAAATCAGTAAAACTGTAGAGAACAAAGCAAAAATGGGCCATTTTCAGAAATTGAGAACTCAGTCATATGGGACCCTGATTGCTATGTCAGCTATTTAATATTGCTTGAGTATATTTAACAATTACTCCTTGCACTTCTAAGAATATTATAATTTAGAAAGAACTTTCATACATTTGATCTCACTGGACCTTTGCAATCACTTAGTAAGGTGATTTGGTAGGTGTTACTTTCACCATATTAAAGATGTTGAATCAGTGGTCGAGAGGTTAAGTGATAGGTATAATAAGGTCACACAGCTAATAAGAAAGTGACCTGGGCATTTGATTTGTGACTAGGTCTTTTGATTTAGATTATGGTTGTATCTGCCCAGTAACTACAACTTGATCAGGATGGTCCTTAATACTACTCAACTACTCAAAGTAGCTGAGATAGCCAGCAACTTTCCATAGTCTGGTCAGGAGAGGCCAATTTGATTCTGACAACAAAAACCATTTGTCCCCTTTTCTTGTGGAAATTTCCCAGTAGTTCTTAATTTCACTTTATGCCCTCTTCCCAATAAATCTCTGTTTCAGTCAGAAACCAGAGAACTTGCTTATAAGTTTCACAAAGGACCTGTTCTGATATGTAAGTGGCCATTTAAAAGGATTATTCATGCTGGCTGGTTGGGATTCAGAATTCTGTGGGCCTCTGACGTGGTGATTCGTTTTGGGTATTTGATCTGTTGTGTAGCTCCCATGCAGATTCTCATAATGGATATCTCATAAGCTTCTTTCTTAAATGCAGTTTCAAAAATTTTATCTTCACAGTGATTTCCCATTTAGGTCTTATTTTTTTAAATTAGTGAAATTGTAGGAATAAGCCCTTAAATGCTGGGCTCCAGAATGACAACTGAGAGTTGAGACACATTAAATTCTAGAATTGTCGGTGGGGACTATACCCTTGAAACTGATGAATTATTCAGACAAACTTTTATTGTTCACAGATAATAGTTTTTCCCTGAGGGACAACTTTCAGTGTCTTTAATTTCTACTCTTACAGTGTCACTAGAACAAGGATTCCATTTACCCTGGAATAATACAGTTTCAGCCTTGAAAATGGCATTCTTTGGGGCTTTGTCATTCTAAATATGTCTGATTTGTGATTGCAGATGAGTCTGTGTTGAAATCATTTTGGTTCAAATGATTCGAAAAATAAAGCACATTTAAAGTATATATGTGGCCCGAGGCCTCTCTCCACTCCACGTGAAGGTATTAAATAATCCTCTGTGTCATCATCCTTCAATAATATTTATGAAGCGTCCATCTGTGCTTGGGGCTGTGCCGAATGCTGTGCAAAACAAGGCAAACACAGTCTTCAGTCCTCCTCATTAGAGATATTTACAGTCTCAGGCAAGGCTAACATGCTTGAATATGTGCAAGGGAATCAGTCTAAAAAGTATGTTTTGATTACAAAGGAGGGCATACAAGGCCTACCACCCATAAATGAA